TAGCGAGTCAATCCCCTCACCAACCCGCACCGGACCCGGGGGGCTCCGGTCTCGTCGTCGTAGGTGCGGCAAACACCACGAAACCAAACCAGACCACCAGACCCGAGCCGCCGGAGCGAGGGGTAGGTAGGTGGCGCCTCTCCGTCGCGTATTTAGAGTCCACCCCTCCCCTTCCTCCTCTGTTCCGCCTCACCAACCGAAACCAAACCAACCAATCTACCCCTCTCCAATGGCAGCCGCGCCCACGTCGCACCACCTCGCCGCCGGGGCGCCCTGGAGCTCCCTCCCCCGCGGCGGGTTCAGGGCGCTCACGGACTCCGCCCCCGCCTCTGTCCGCTTCTCCGTCGGTCGCCGCCGCGCCGCCCGCCTAGGTCCGTCCCGTTGCCCCGCACCTCCTCGATTCCCGTCGTTAGAACGCGCTTCGCCGTGTCTGCTCCGTTTATGGGGTCGGGGGTAACTGGTTGGTTGCCTTAAGGCGAGCTTAGGATTGCTTGGTCTGCTGCTGCCTGAGAGTATAGTATGGCCGTCGTTGGTGGCATGGAGAAGAGGGTTTGTGAGCCGTCTTTCTGATACCATTTACGGGAACCTTATTTCCGCGATCGCAATTTCAAAGATCATAGTTCGTTTGGCCATATCACCCATAGCTCAGTACAGGTTCACTGTTGCATCTCTATTGGTGTTTTGAGATCTCAGGGGTTGTGACAGCACCTAGTTCCAATGCTGATGTTTTTTGTATCCTGAATTTGTACGTTCTATGTAAATTCTGAGATGCTCTGCATGGCAGCATAACTGCACTTCTGTTTGAACTAGAACCGTACAAGAGCTAACTCTGACAAGTGTTGCTTCGTAAATTGGAGAACAGAGGTGAAGGCGGCTGGAAATATCTTCGGTGACTACTTCCAGGTTGCAACTTATGGAGAGTCTCACGGAGGTGGTGTTGGCTGCGTTATCAGTGGTTGTCCACCCAGAATCCCACTCACCGAGGAAGACATGCAAGGAGACCTTGATCGAAGGTGTGCTTCAATATTTCATTAGTTTTCCAGCTGCTGCCGGAATTAGGATATTGCAAATGCATTCTGTTAACCTCTTGGAGATATAATCATTAGATATTCCCATGATGCAAACTAATATGAAGAGGTTGATTATCACAGGCGGCCAGGTCAGAGCAGAATAACAACCCCAAGGAAGGAGACCGATACTTGTAAAATTCTTTCAGGGACATATGAAGGTAGGGTACATTTCAAGACATGGGATATCCTTGGTGAATTTGATTTTCAAATAAGAATGCATTAGTTTGTGTCCGTTTTATGACAAGGCTGAATGTATTTTCTGCAGGAATGACCACTGGGACGCCGATTCATGTTTTTGTCCCAAACACGGATCAAAGAGGGGGTGTAAGTATCTAGTATAAGATTTTTAATACTCCCTCCGTTCACTTTTATAAGTCGTTTACAACAAAATTTGACCTGTTTTGCATGTTGTCTGAAATGTCTACAAGGCCTTATAAAAGTGAACAGAGGGAGTAACTATACTCATGGTAGCTAGACATTTGGAGGGGCAATAATTGCTGGCACTGACCCTTTTGTTTCACAATCATATTTGGTTCCACAGGATTACACTGAAATGGCTAAGGCGTACAGACCTTCCCATGCGGATTTGACTTATGACCTCAAGTACGGTGTTAGATCTGTTCAGGTACCTGTTGTCATACATATATAAGGTGTATAGTTCAGTTATCACACTGATGCACTAACTGCTGCAGCTTTTCTGCTACAACTTTACATGTGGGTGTTTTCTGTACTTGAATAGTTGAGTTAAAAAAAATTCTATGTGAACTGTATAATAGGGAGGTGGAAGGTCATCGGCAAGAGAAACCATTGGAAGGGTAGCTGCAGGAGCTGTTGCAAAGAAAATTCTTAAGCTGAAATGTGGAGTAGAGGTTTGGTCCTACTTGGCACTTACTTTTTTTTAACTATTCCACATCTGTAACCAAGCCTTGTCACTCCCCTGGTTACTGCTTGATAAACAATATAGCCTGAAGAAAGAAAACTTGCATGTGGATACATCCTAAATATGTCGAAGCATTCAACTTTTGTCTTAATTAAATATTAGCATCGCTAGAATTTGCAAATAAGCAGTGGTTTTCCTGTTGGACGGCCCCTCTTTATTTTGCTTTTATTTCAGTTCTTGCTTGACCTAAATATGGCAACTCAGTTGTCTATGTACTTCGATCCATCTTGTATTCTGTTGCATAAAGCAATCTGTATCGTGCTGCAGTGAATACTGATTTATTTCACCATTTCATTCCCACGCAGAAGGGCAAATTTTGTGTGTGTGCCTCTCTCTCTTATAACTTGATTTTTCAGTACCTTATGGCGGAGAAATATTTGCCTGCAGATTCTAGCATTTGTTTCCAAAGTGCATCAAGTGGTACTTCCTGAAGACGCAGTTGATTATGAAACTCTTACCCTGGATCAGGTCCGTGGTTGCCACCCTTTTGACTAACATTACAGGATACTCTCAGTGATTTACTGGAATTTTTTTCTTGTTTTTTAATTTCCAGATAGAGAGCAACATTTGTAGAT